TAAAATGAATGGTTCAAAGACATAATCGTAATCGTGGCTCCAAACAGGAACTATTGGGAAGAGAAATGTGGACCAGGAGAACTCCTTTTCCACCAAACTGACTCTGGTTCTTGAACTGGTTCTGTTCAGGATTCAACAACAGTCAACAATAAATAAACCTGCCCACCTGAGTGAACTGTCTGTAGCTGAATAGAGTCAGCCTACACTACTACGCGTGCAAAAAGTCTCATCTACGTACAGTGTCGACTGTACGTACAGGAGCCGGGTGGAAAGCGGGTGTGTAACAGCAGCTCGTACACTCCCACCTGTGTGTTTACGAGACTTTTGGGAAAAGATTCCTGCACAGAAACACTGAGCAGAGTTCAGGTAGAAAACAGAGACATCACAGCCTAAAGACATGCATTCAAAAAACTCAGCTTCTAGAAAGTTAAATGGACTATGTGTCGATGCAATCAGCTGCTCAAGTCAGACAGGTGTCTCTGTAAAGACCTGGGCTATTAACTCCTCTACCTGCAAATACCTCACACTGTGCCATTGCTAATAATACTAAAAAAAAGACAGAAAAACCCCCCAGAAACAACCAGTGAAAGCAAAAGGGATCATATGCATGGCCAACCCCGATTGCATGTGAGGATTGGTAATTGCACCCCCAGAGGCATCTGGGTGTGCAGAGCAGTAAAGTGGGAGACGCCTGAACAGCTCGGGCTTCACAGTCAGTGTACCAACATCTCAACCTTGAGGAGGAAGTGAAAACAAGAAGGCGGAGGAGCGGAGGGTGAGGGATATACAGACAGTTCATTTACCCAGAACATCAGCCCACCGCGCATTGTCTGAAAGATAAGGAAAGTGAATGCTTCATGCCTGATGGAAAACAAAGGCAGCAATTTAAAACCATCTGCATCCAACACATGCACTCTCTCCCTCCACCTCACTGTTTCTGTGTCCTGCCTGATATTGAAACATAATCCATTTGGAGCGCCGACATGTCATAATATTTCTATTCCTCCCCCCCCCATTCAGGACAATTTCAGGTGGTTGCAGGTTGAAATGTTTTATTGCAACAAGTCAGACAGTCGGCTGAAAACTGGAGTCTTTGCTTTGATTCTGTTTAGGAAAAAATAAATATATATTTATATATAGAGGGAGAGATGGAGCGACACGAATAAAAAGGACTTCTAGTTCACTTTAAATCCCTCTTAAGGAGACCTCAGCTGCTCCTGTGGGCCTCTGTAGGTTCAGAAAATAACAATAAAGCACAAAATCCAGAGATCAAAACTCTTATATACTGTACAGGAGTCCAGAAACATCATACAGCACAAAGGCTTTGGTGTGAATCCTCTAACTGCTGTATACCGCTCTTAGATCTCCACTAAGTAAAGAAAAGAAAAAGAAATTGTTGCTTGTCCACTCCTCTTTGAACAAAAAGAGTTTGATTCTGTATTTTTAACTCCGACTGGATCGCTTTGAACTGCCAGGAACTTTCACTTATTACACGTTTACTTACTTTACTTTTATTTATTGATGTAATGTTTGATTTATGATTGTACAGCCTGATCTAGTTTGGAATAATATGTATACAAATACACAGAACTCAATTATAGTGGGGCTCCCCAACTTAAAATCTAGTTTTAGTGCCTTTATTTCACTTTATATTGTGCTAACACGGCACATATCCTATATATTCATTTATTCTTAAGTGACTATTAACAAAACTACCAAACAAATCTGCAATTATTCAAATTAAAAGAAACTAATGGTGGTCCCTGGAGCCTTTGGGCCCCCTGATTGTCTGCATGAGTTACTCAACAGAACAGTTCATCAAAAGTCACCGAGCACATGAAGAACAGGGTGGAAGATCTTTCACTTTAAGGTCCAGTGTGAAGGATTTAGTGGCTTCTAGCTGTGTTGCAACTCCCTCACTTCACCCTCCCTTTGTAAGTGCAAAGGAGAAACTACGGTGGCCATGAAATGCGTCAAAAACAGCCTTATTTAGAGCCGGTGCTCTGCTTTGTCCGTTCTGGGCTACTGTAGAAATATGGACGGCTTCCTTGGAAGGTCGACCTGCAGCGTCTGTAGATAAAAACCTATTTTAAAGTAACGAAAACACAACAACTCTTATTTTCAGTTGATTATATTCTTATAAAAACAATAATATTTCTACCAATTGATCTTCCTAAATCTCACACCACACTGTAAAAGATATTCTGCAGTAAAGTAAAGTCATACATTTAAAATCCAACTTTAAATAGTGTAAAACTAACACAGCAAAAAGTACTTAAAGTATCAAAAGTACTCATTATTACTGCTGTAGCTTTAACTATATGATTAATGTGGAAGGAAAGAGGAAAAACAAAGTTCTCATACGTGCATTTGTTTTCAGTTTTTGGACAATTCTCCCGTCTTTATGTGAGAGTTTGACCTCTTCTGGCCTTCAGCAATAAACAAATATAAAGAGTGGAAACTAGAAACCGCTGCCTCAAACACAGGAACCACTAGTTTAATTTTCAACAATGCATCAGACGTTTCTTTATGTAAAATCTTAATCTGTGAAGGTATAAAGTAGCATTAATGCTCAACTAATATACCACAAACTTGTAGTTAAGTACAGTGTTGGATTAAAAGTAGCCAGTTTAGTTAATTCCTGGTTATTATTTGGGTATTTCTGGTCAAATATTGTCAAAATGTATAAAATATTAAAAAGTTAATCTGAGCTAAACGTGTGATTTTGGGGATTTATGAATAAAACTTTGCTGAATCATCAATTAAAATGTATAAAAAGTGCGAAATAGAGTTTAATTAACTGACTAATAGGCCATTTCTCTCGTTCACATTCTAGAAAAAGGTGTTATTAATAATATTAATCTTATTATTTACACCTGTTCTTTTAGAAAAAAAAGCTTATTGAACTAATATTATTGTACACAGGTCATAAACTGTAGATTGGGGATATGTTAGATGAGTTTTTGATTGGTAAAGTGTCTTCTTTACTAATGTTTGTTCTACAAATGAATGCATGAAGTGTGAAGAGCTTCCAGGAACAGGACGCTACTTCCTTGTATAAATAAGTTGTTAAATGTAGGATACTGTAAAACTTGTACACAAATAGGGACAAAACTTTTGTGCACGAGACATTTTTTTCCTCCAAGAAGGATTGATAAAAAGCTCCAACCCTGACGTTTACTCTATAATCCTGCATAAGGGTTTTCCTGTCTTCATTCAAAAAGCTGCTGCGGAGAGACAATGGAAAAGTAAACTTTTATCAGCAGCAGAAATACAAACAGTTTGAGAAAACAGATATGGGTCAGGAGCTGCATCTGCACAATTACATTGTTAATGGGAAAGACAATGAAAATAGACAACAAAAGAACATCAAATAACTCACTCGAGCTGCGTACACCTCAGCCATCACCACTCAAAAATACATCCAGTGTTTTGAAATGAAGGGAGAGAGAGAGAGAGAGAGAGCTGAAAGGAAGACGAAAAAGCATCTTGAACATCAGTTTTCAGTCTAATGTTAATAATTTATGTTGTCTGTGCTTTTTATTATTATTATTTATTTATTTACTACTTTCTTTTCCAGCAGCCTGCCCGTTTTTCAAAGGCATCATGGACAGGGAAGCCGTATCAAACTTTTGAGTTTAGTTTCAAAAGGCTCCCCCCCCGGTTTATTTATATATTTCTTTTTCTTTACACTTGTCTTGTTGTTATTTGGTGGAGGCAAACACATGAAGCTTTGATGAGAAGCAAACCTGACATGTATTCTTCTCCACTGACCCCAAGGAAATCTAAATAAATAGCTAAATATTGTATGTAAAGGCTCCTTTCTGTAGCCCCTTTTCTCTCATTAAGCACATCAAATATTCACTTCACATGCATTCATGTGTCACCAGCGACGGGTTAAATGTCGAATAACGTCTTAAATACGAAGCCGTGTGCAAAAAAGTGCACTCGACCGTGACCTCGCCGAGAGAGAAAGTCCGGAGCAAGTTTTGATTTTACTTTAACGTTTTCAATAAACGTGTTTATGTGTGGAGCTGAAAAGATGAAAAGAGAAGTCAGAGATGTTTTTTTTTTAGAATATTTGTATGTTACTGAAATCTTTGAACTCTACAGCAAGCTGTTCTCGTATTACTTATATCACGTTTTAAAGTGAAATACAAAATATAAACTCATTATATTATATCATTAAATGAGTTTCTATAGGGATTAAATGCATCGCTGCTTTGTTAATGTCTGTCCACTGTTAATATTCACAGTATATTGGACATTAATGATAAATATATGTACAATTTGACACCTTTAAATATCTGATTTATGGTTTAAACTCCCTAAATTGCATAAATTGAGTTAAAAGCCGAGTTGGCCGCTGCTCTGCTGAGCTAGCAACCGTTAGCACGAGTTTAACCGAGATTAGTTTTTTTTGGGGGGGAATTTAGCTTCTGTCTCGTTTAATTTAATAACCAATCTCCAAAACTGTAATAAATTAATTAATCTACAGTTCAGTATATTTTTAATATTCGATTTAGAGCTAGGTAGCCACACCAAATCACATGAGCACAACAGTTAACGTCGACTCTCGTTATCATTTATTTCCCATCAAAACTGAATTTAGCTTTAGCCTTATGAAGTTCTGTGGAATAATACCTGACATATACATTTATTAACACATTTATCTACAATATAAGATACTTTAATATGTCATTTAGAGTTGGCTTATTCCACTAGAGTCAAAAGCTGAGACAGTTAACTGCTAGCTTTTAGGGTTTTCTCCATTTTAACTCGGTTTAGCTCATTTAACATCCATTCAGTCACATGCACACATTTATAAATCGTGTGGAATAATAAACTGAATACATCCAGTTCAGAGATATGTTAATCATATTTTTCATTTACAGATTACAACCAGGGTAAAATATCCCAAAATTATACATTTCTATTGTATAAAAATCCTCAAAAAATCAAAGAAAATCTTTAAAAAAATAATTCTGAAACACACAAAATTCATGTCAAACAATTGTTTATTACTAATTATGGTACAAATCAATGTGACATACTTGAAGCTTTTTTTTGTTTTGTTGGAAATACACAAAGTGCTGCTTAACTGACCAAACAGATATTGCTCTATAGATTAAGTACAGTTTTCAGTCTATAAAAAAATTAAAACCAACCTCTGCAGGCTCTTCGGCTTTGGTTTCGAGTTCTTCGTCTATTAACAAAACATCAAACCAGTTTGTTTGTGTTAGTAAAATTTCACAAAAAGCATTTTTAAAGGTTGATTCACTAAAATCATCCTAATTGGGTTAAGAGCAACGTTACTGTAATCTCCTTTTTCCTCTACGCAGGGTCTACAGGTTCTGTGACAACTGAGAGGTGAAAACACCAACGACGAAGATGAGAAATAATACGACAATATTAAATAAATAAATAAATAAAAAATGACCAGAGAGTCACGTGTGGCTCAGGAAAACCACTTCACGAAGAAACAAAAACAATCATGTGTCACGTAATAATAAATAAAAAAACCTCCACATCGAAGGTGAACACCGACACACACACACAGTGTAGAGTAATCGTTTTTTTTTCCTCTTCTGACCTGCTGCTGCTTGTATGGCGTTTAAGTATGATTCTCACAAGAACAGTACTGAGGTAAACCTTGGATGAACTTACTGTACATTTCTAACTCTTTCAATTTCTTTTTTTTCTATCTCGGATTTTTTTTAAAAGATTGTCAACATCATGAATCTATTTCTCTGTACAATGTGCATAACTATAGAGCTTTGGTCCAGCATTGAAAAGTTGAGTGAAGGCGTAACTCCTTCCTGTGTCTTCGTTTTATTTTATTTATTTAGTTTTTTTTTTTTTTTTTTTTTTGGTTTTTGGTTACAGCTTTATTGTTAAGCCTCATAACAGATCCACAGGAGCCTGCTGCTTTCTCACTCTCTCTCTCACATGTTTGTCTGGTGGGTGGATGCAGACATGTAGTTTCTTGGCCAAAAGATTTGCCTGAATTAAATACTGGAAGTAACATAAAAAAAAAAAATACATCAAATCTGATTAAAAAGGATGAAAATACAATTAAAAAAGAGAAAAAGACGAATGGAAATTAAGTTTAAATACTTGAATATATCATAAAAATTATATTAAAAAAAGTCTCTGTGCACCAAAAGGAATTTAGGAATACATGTAAAGCTTCTTCGTGTGTTTTTCTAACATTTACCGAGTGTGTGTGTGTGTGTGTGTGTGTGTGTGTGTGTGTGTTTTACAGGCAGTGAAGAAGAACACAGCAGTGCACAGGGGACTGAAAGACTGAGATAACCAATGTGACATGGAAGGACAGATATCGAGCAGACACATGATTCTGAATAAATTGCATCAAATTTCACCTCACTTCAAATTAAGTTCACTCGTTCTGACATGTGACACTTATTCTCAACATTCACCTCTTTTTTTTTTATTATTTTTCCTGTGAGGGTTTTTTTTTTGTGAAATCCAAATATTTGTGGGGTTTTCTTTATATAATATTGACATTTCTCACAAAGTAATATGTAAAATGAACAATTTCTATGTAGATTTCCATCACAAATAACCACAAATACATGAAATCTTTGAAGATAATCTCTGGAAATGAACCTTTTAAAGCATTTTACTGCAGTAGAAATCAATCAAACGCATTAAAAAATGGTTGATTGTAACATCTGTAAACCTTCACTGAGCTGATGGATGCAGAATATAAAAGAAAACAACATTTATCTTTTCAGGTTTATAAAAAAACACAACAACAGCTGAACTGGAATGAGCTCAGTAGTTTAGTCAGTGGCAACAAACAGGCTTCAACCACGCGTTTATTTGATTTTAGGCCTTAATTAAAGGGTTTAACGTGTAAAACAATGTGTTATTTTTACTGATATTCAGGTAATAATGTTAATTTTGGGTCATATCATCATTAATAATCCTCCGTCATGTGGTTTGAGTTGAAGCATGCAGAGGAAAACTTAAAAAGAAACTCTTTTTCTATATTGCCGTGAAAGAGACTCACTGTTGCAGCTGTTTGACATGATAGTGTGTTTTTTTGTTTTTGTTTTTTGTTGTTGTTGTTAAAATTGACCCACAGAGTGAAACACTTTAGAAAAAAGAGGAGGGGGGGGAGGAGGAAAAGCCAAAATAAATGGAAAAGGTAAAATCTTCACCAGTCCTTGAGCTGAAAGGTATGTGTTCTTTGGCTATCAGGCTTTGGCAACAGATCGACACAGTAGCTCAAAACAAAGCTGCAGTAGACTTTGACAGACACTGAAACCCCTCATCATCATCATCATCATCATCATCATGTGAAAAGTCCCTTAATGTACTCTCCCCGCCTCCGTCCGTCCTCTGAAACAATCTCATGAGATCATTAATAAATACCTGTAAAAGTTGTACAAAGTTACACCGTGACTGAAAATATTTGCAGATGAAACACAAATCAGAGGCAAAAAACGACATTATTATGCAATTGTTCAACAGCAAAGGTTAAATTATCTTTTTTTTTTTTCTTCGTCCAAAAGAGAAACTTTATCGGTGTGATTTCAATTCGAAGACAGCGTTTGTTTTTTGTTTTTTTTTTCCCATTTTTTTTTGGTTCTTTTTTAAAGATATTTACATACAAACAATGAAGGAAAAAGTAAGCGAAGACAAAGATAAAATGTATACTCAACCTCACACATATAGCTTTAGATTTTTGCCAGTACAAATGTAAAAATTTAGAGCACATTTACATTACAAAATTATTCTTAGTACTCAGATGCAACAGACTTTGGTAAATAGTGTTTTTGATTTGGTATGATCTCTTTACTAAATCCCTCCTCGTGGGAACCAAAATTTGGGCGATAGTCTGGTCTGTAAGGCCAGAATCTAAAACTCTTTGAAACAGCACACCGTATGTTTTTACATAATTCTCAAGATATTAATCTCTTTTTTCATGGTTTTTGGTTTTCGCCAAGGTCATTTACATAGCTGTGGTAATCACACTGACAACACATAGTTTTTGTTTTGCAAACTCACGACTGTCCATTCCAGGGTGACTCGGGATCGTTTCTCAGTTCTCATTTCGAGACGAGTTCATCCAACCTTTTGTTGTTTTTAAAATGGCTGCCACTTTTCCACTCCTCTTTTTTTTTTTTTTATCTTATTTTATTTTATTTTAAGTCGAAGGAGAGCTCGTTCATTTCGGGAGCTCCTCTAGAGAATCAGTGAGAGGGTCCATTGGCGCAGCCGGGCCGAGGTCGGGCTGTTTCAAACGCTTTATTGTGTTTTTCAAGGCTTGCCTCTTGTTGCAGAACCAGACACGCACCACCTCCCGGTCGTAGTTCAGTTTCTCGGCTATTTCCGTCATTTCCTGTCCGGAGGGGTGTGTGTTCTTCTCAAAGTGGCTGTTGAGGATCTCGAGCGCCTGCGGGGTGAAAGAGGTCCTCCGCTTGCGTTTTTTGGAAGGCTCGCTGCCGATAAACTCAGTCAGGTTCTGCATGCCGGATCGGTGGCGGGCTTCAGCCTCGGCCATCCAGCGCTCCAGAACGGGCTTAATCTTCTGGGCGCTTTTAGGGGTGATGTCCAACTTCTCAAACCTGGCAGGATATAAAAGGCCAGGGTTCAGTTTTCCTGTCAGACTGCTACCTATAGTGTTCTCTTGGGCTTCCTGTGGTAGGAAAAAGTGGCTTCTCAGGATGGTGTGTCTGGGGAGAATTGAGAAAAAAGAATCTTACTTAGGTGCCCTGCCAGAACAAGGGATAAGCTGCCTGCCTTTTAGTCTCCTCAACCAGAATGCCACAGGGACTGAGACTAACGTCCAGGTACACATCCGAGCCAAACTCCACTGTATTCAGCACCTGGAAAACACCTCAGCTGCAGCAGCTGGAGGTGACGGTTGCCAGTAGTGTGTTAATTTTCTGGAGAAGGTTGTGGTTCTCTGTCCCAAATTGGCAATAGTGGAGCAAGGAGATATCGCCGATGGCTAAATCAGCTCCAGTTGAACCAAAAACATACAAAAACATCTAACTAAATGTACTTAAAAAGGAAAAATAAATTAAAATCAACAGAAATAACAACAATTACTCCCAAATATCCCATTTCTTCTTTTCCTCAGGTGATAAAAACCAAAAACTCCACTAATGCATGCAGTTAAATATGGCACCATCATTTATTTACAAAAAAAATAGAAAAAAAAGCTTGAATTATTAATCAAAATGTACATTTAATACATTTTTCAAACTTTCTTTCATCCTCTAACAACGTCTCATTTTATATTTAATGAGAATACATTTACACACTCTAATCCTGAAAGTTCCTGCAACTTTACACATAATTCTGACTCCACGTATACTCGGCATTTTAGCAAGTCGCAGGTAAGAATGGAGAATGAAGCTTTCTCTAAAAACACTAAGAGTTGGCAGCTCAGTGACTTTGTCGGGTGCTTTTTTACTGCGATATGAACAGATACAGATACCGTGTGTGGGGTTAGAGTTAGATATGAGGAAGACGATGGTTTTGTGTTTGACAGTAAAGTGATGAATTCCTCTCGTGCCTGTAATGTCAATTAGTAAGTATGCTGACTTAGGAGAAAATGTTAATTTTGTTTAGAGGTTTTATGGCTACAGATACAAACAAAATCCTTAAAAACTGTATTTGACATAGTAAATTAATGGAGCTATGAGGTCAATACTTACATTTATATTTATTTTTCACCCAGACTTTTATATATGGATCTTTTAAAGGACCAGTGCGTAGCGGTGAAGTTTCATCACAACTCAGCCTTTCAACTATGTAGGAGGAACTACAAAAAAACGTGAGCCAGAGTGTTTGGTTTTGTCCGTTCTGGGCTACTGTAGAAACATGGCTGGTCCATACGTAAATAAAATGACTCTAAAATAACAAAAACACAACGATTCTTATTTTCAGGGGATTTTACACCAATGAAAAAATGTCTGCTAATGAAGAAACCTGCAGATTCTTATAAGTTGTTATGTTGTTTTAGACATTTTGTATTTATGGTGATTCACACGTTAACATGATTAATTGACGGACTGAATTTAAAGAAACTGTAATCAACTTTAAACGCTGACAGTAAATGTTTGTCTGGCTCTATTATTTACAGACTGGGAAATAATTGTCGCTTAACTGATCTAACATTCTTTGGGGTTAATTGTTGTTTTTTCGCCAATTTTGTCAGGAAAATATTCGGTAAAGTTCTTGTTAGACCGAACTAATGACAGTTGTAACAGTTACATAACACATTGTGGGCTGTCCCATGTGTTTTTAATTGAAGGAGCACATCAGGACTCCAGTGAGTCCTGAAACTGCCTGGTTGAAACATCAGACTTACCACTGGAGTGTACTGCAACACAACTGCAAGTTAGATCGCATTCATCTATGATTCCTCTGATACTTTAAATAATATTTATTGTTATTTGATTGTTTTAAATGGTGTGTGTGTGAGATTCTGGTTTTATGTGACTAAATTGTCCTCTGGGATGCAGAATATCTACAAAAACAGACAGTGAAATCTTCATTTAACATCACATGCCTATTAATCGGGGAGGTTTTCAGTGTTTTTTGGGACAAACATGAGTGTGACGTGTGTGAATGCTTTTAGTAAAACCACTCCTGAACTGACATCTCTGATGGAAAAAGACAGCAGAGATCTACAAGGAGTCTCTCTGGCTCTCTGTGGAACAAACAATGCACACAAGACATTTTTAATGGCGAGGTGAGCGGCTGCAGACAACAGCGAGGGGCGAGATGCCCATGCATGCATGAACTTCCTCTGTTTCTACACCTCGTTGGTGCTTTCCTCCTTGTCGACAGGCGGTATTATTTATAACCCGCGTCCTCCTCCTAAACAGTGGAAAGAGGAGGGCTCCATACTGCGGGGAATACATTAGTAAATATGAGGAGTCACCAGAGACAGGACATTTCATGGATCAACAGGAAGCGAAGATACTAAAATGAGTTGAGAGCTGCTCAGCTGGAGTATGCACTCCCTCCACTAGTGCATCAGCACGAGGGAGAAATGGCCCTGAATGCACCTCCAGCCTCTCTGGCTCTTCTTAAAAGTACCTTAGGAGGCTGCTGTATGTTACAGTCTCCCTGAGGGGTTTACAGTCATGGACCAGTGAGAGCTGTGTGAGAGGTATAAGCCAGCATGACCTAAAATCTACAGTATATGAAGACAGTAAATCATGTCATGTTGGTTCGCTTGTGTTACATTTGTACTGTTTAATTACAGTTAAAGATAAAGCTACTGTTTGTTTATAGACATTTATTGAAAACTGTCAGGGAGGAAAGGGTGATATAACAATATTTATAGTGAGACAATATGTTATTCTAAACTATATTGTGGTTTCTGTTGTATTAGTAACTCACTGAATCATTGAACGAGACGTTTTTATGGCAAAATCGTTTTTATATGACTTTGAAATAAATGTGATCTGGTGTATCTGGACATTCATGTCTGGTTATTTTGTCCAGTAACAATTTCTCAACTCGTTCTCCAAACATGTATTTTATGAATATATATATAGTGATATAATAATATAAATTAAAAATACTGTAATAAAGTATTTAATGTATATCGCTAAAACCCTGCAGTCAAACACTGAGAGCTGGCATTAAAGGCTTTAAGTTCTTGTAAAGCCGCTTTATGTTGTGAAAAACATGAAACACTGACTGATTTAAGATGTTTGGCTTCTTTTGTTTAATAAAAAATGATTTTATAGAACGTTTTTTTAATATATGTTTGAAAAGAATTGTTTTTCATGGCTTTGTGTTGCATTTTACACACAAATTGTGCTACATAAAAAGTTTATTATTATTATTGTTATTAATAATGTTGTAAAGGCATTGCAATATCCCTGCACTTGTGATATAAGTATATTTGAATCTATAAGAGGTTTATAAGATCAGTAATTTAAGTTTATTGTCTAGCACTACTCAGGGCTATTGATAAAATATGTCTGTTTATGTTTTTATAAGCTGTGTATGTAAGTTATTTATGCTGAGTCAGATGTGTCTCTTTAAAGATTTAACTGAGGAAAGCAATCTAAGAGTTTATAATGGGACTTTGAATTCTCAGCAGTGTGAAAGACAAGTTATAACACATTTACTATGTTAATAATGTAATAATAATGAGAAGTTTTAAAGTTTTAAATCAGAATATTTTGTGTTTTTTAATACCCATATTAGCCAAACCTGACCAAATTTAAGGCCACAGGACGACACACTGGTACATCATTGGTTTGATGATGCCCTCATGTAATACATGTGCCTGTTAAGATAAACTAATAAAGTCCCTGGAAACATACTGAGCAATGAAAGGAGACAAGATGGAAGCATCTGTCAGTGTCTGTTCACTGTCTGGGTTCAGAGTCGGAGCCCCAGAGCTACCGTGACGTCCCGCTTCTCCTCAAACTTCATGTCTATGTTGATGTTAACTAAACTAAAGCATGTGAAGTTTGCCCCTCTACTTAAAACATCAGGATGTCATGTCCGATGTCATACAAAAAAAAAAAATTGTCTTAACGGCATGAATAGCAGCCCACAGAGTGTTTATTTTTGAAGCTAATGGCTTTTAATGTATGTTATAAATATTTGAATTATTCCTGGCTGTAAATATTTCATGTGTGATTTTAAGACTTTAAACATTAGTCAGAGATGGCTGGGCCTCATAAGAACCCTGGACCCTGTACTGTTTCACATTTTATCACCCGTTTGATGTTGATGTGATGAAATTTTTAAAAGTGCGTGGCAGCGGCGCGTCACATAAACAGTACAGGTCGTCGGCAAAGCACATGCATGCAGAGGGACATTAAAATTAATACGGTGATAGGAATATTAAGCTGAAAATGGGAGAAACTGGCTTTGATTGTGTTAAATTCTGTGTTAAGTTGTCAAAAATGGATCCTTTAATTCGATTTTTAGAACATTAACTTCCATTTGTAAACATTTTAATTAATCATACACTTAAAATGCTGTTTTATATTGGAAAATTACTGATTTTACTATTGGTTTCTCTTAAAAATGTCATATTTGGGCATGATGTAGCCCAACTTTTCTGACTTGAAAGGGAAATATGGCTCCTTTGGCATCCTCTTGCAAAATGTTAGTCAAGTGGAACAGCAGGACGGATGAAACACTGATTGTCTGATTGTCTGATGAATATATAATGCACCATTTATGACTAAACTGTCCTCGTGGCAGCAGTAAAACATGGCAATCTTATTAACAGATCATCGCCGTCAAGCTCTCTCATGTTCAAGCGGAGCGACCGGCAACGGGCCTTAGAAATTATTAAATGCTTTAAGTGCTTCGTGTAATACTTTGTATGTATTTTGCATAAGTAACGCGAGGCTGTCATGTCAGCGGGTGAGAGGGAAGTGAGAGGAAGGTGGGTAAGTACAGACATGAGAGCTTCGTTTGTCAGGGTGGTGATAGTCAATTATGTATTTTAATATCTTAATAATGTCTGTTAAAACACGGAATGAAAAATGGATGGCAGTTATGAGCACCAGACAACTCAGTGAGGCTGCACGACTTCATCTGCTCTCATTTGACAGAATTAGGACACACTGGTCAGATATAATGAACCCTTTATTGTTAGACTTTTACCCTCTTTGTTTGTTCTTACCTGCAGATGGCAGACTGGCTGTACGCCGGCCCCTCGGCAGCGCTGAGCGCCTGGCCCACCTGAGTCTGTGTCAGGCCCAGGGACAGCCGGCGGATCTTGAATGCTTTGGCGAATTCACGAATCTCCTCCAGATTGACCCCGTCCACCTCGCTGGGGGCGGTCTGCGGGTCTACAATACAACACACACATCTCATTTTATTAGCCCTCTGCTCCCCCGTCGCTTACCTCATTTTCCAGAGTGAATGAAGCAAACACCCAGACATATGTGATCATGATCGTCTCTAAACAACAAAAAAGTAGTCCTGCTCTGGGTCAGAACTTATTATTTCTCTTTGCCCTTGTGTGGTAAACTGCATGTATCTGAGAGATATTTGAAGAATAAATTCATCTGAGGTGTGAATGCAGGCATGTCATGGCTCTGACTTGCAAGTGTAAATCTTTTATCTCACACACAAAAGCAATATGGACAAAACCATACGACACAGAGCTTGTTAATTCAATAGATGGATAGATCTTGAGCAGACACACAGCAGATACTGTGGCTCTTTTTCTTCTATCTCTCTTCTAGCTTTCTGTATGAATACACATATTCTAAAGCTAGCACTCTCAAATAAATATTAAATAATGTATAAAGACATTATTTTATCCATCTGACCGCTGGCGAAGACAGTTCAGGCCTTCAAACCACCAGCGAGCCTCGTGCAGAGGAACACACACAGAGAGAACTCTCTTTATACAAAGAAATGCTGTTTGTGAATCTCCGCATTTGAGCAGATCTGAAAAACTTCACTGAATCATTTTGAAGAATTTCCCCGCTAATAAAAAGTGATTTCACATTGTACATCAATGTCAGGTGCCCTGGCATCCTGCTTACTAAAGCAAAGTTTGTGCCTCTGAATTATTCATCTTGGTCATTATCAATGAATTATTAAAGGAATCCTCCAAGCGTATTTAAGCAAAAATCTATGGGCCTGCCATCTCGTTGTGCCTCATAAGTGACGTGTAGCGTGTGCGGCATGCTCCAGACGTGTGAACACTTGGAAGACGAGGGACTAGAGACTCAAAGACGACTAAATGGGAGGGATGAGCACTCACAGCTTCGGGTCCCATCATCTCCACATTGATGAGCATCTCTTCATCATTCCCAACAGAGTCTATTTACTCAGTGGTTTGAAAGACTAATGGCACTCTAGAGCGGCGGTGCTCAACTGGTCTAAACTCTGGATCCATTATTTGTCTGTAGACATTAAGTCGCAAACCCAAACATGATTTAAGATTTAAACCCTAAAGCTTGATTTATTTTGCAATAATGAACGGTGGAGTAAAGCTTTCACAAAACAAACAGAATTAAATGTTTTAAAAGACAAATTAAAAAACACTGAAACAATGGAGACGATTTCTGGAGCCTCCAAAAGCTTTTCTTTACTTTTCTTCACAGCAAGGACAATAACAAGTTCTCTTCTGAAAAGTGAAATGAGAAAAACCTTCATAAATTACAGGTACGACTCGTCTATTATGAGCCAGGACTTAATGGCACCCAATGTGCCAGACAAAGTTTTTAATCTCTGTCTGTCCTTCACTTAAGGAGTTTTTCTTTTTGTAGAAACGTTCATAATGTACCTGAATTAGACTAAATGATGATAAAGTTTATAGCTGCAACCCACCAGTTAGAAAATGTGAGAATAAGTGAAGCTCTGCTTTATATGCACCTTAACATGTGAGCTGTGATAAAGACAGCTCTTTGCATTTACACCTGGTATTAATAAGGATCCTTGTTATGTCAGTTCTGTCATCACATATCAATTAGCGAGAATCATTTAATTGTTAAATCACTTTTAGTGACAACTATGTGTTAGTGTAGTAGTAGAACAACTAGAATTTATATTTTTTTACGTATCAAATGGCAACAATCCCTCGTAGAGATGAATCTACAGAGAATTATCTGCAGTAAATGTTGGACTTCAACATAAAAACATATTGCGTATGTTATTGCCGAATGTGGTCACACTGCACAGACAACGCTACTTATCCAGACAGCATATGCAGATACAGACGGCATATTATTGCCAGCTGTAAATGGGGGTATAAGTGCCCTTAAGCAAGGCACTTCAACCTCTATTTTATTCCAGTGCAGCTGCTCACTGGAGACTAATAGAAGACTGTGGTTGTTGTGGTGAAATGAGGGTTAAAGTTGGGTAAAAAAAAAAGTTCAGTCAACTTTCTCTGGACAAATAAACGTTAAAATAAAACAATACAACCTCAAGGTAAAATATCGCTGACATTCTTCTTTCTGATTGACATTTTCCCATCTGATTATTTTAAATAACAGTAACAGAAATTCTCAGTTTTTTTTTTTATATCTGTTTGTGGCACTTTGTTTGTGGCCAGTGAACACAATGACATTTCATCTTCTCAGCAGACGTCTCTGATTCTGTCATGTGATTTTGCTTCGTGTATGTACACTGTAAGTGATATTGAGAGAAAGTGATATGACTCATACTCAGCATAAAGCATTAATTCTATTTAACCTCAGAACTGAGCCACAAAGATTTTGTGCAGACTCAAAAACGGTTTATAAGATATCTTCCCAGCTACAAGTAAACACAAACTAAACACGGTGTCTACAACAAGTTGATCAATGGCGACTTGTTTTTTATTAAATTCAGTGGCATTGTGGCTGCCTTTAAAATGAGTTTACATGGAGTTTAGGAGAATCGACTCTGACAAATGAAATTTATCTGAATAAAACAGAGTTTTTAAAGGCAATAGCTGCATGCTGACAGGCTGTGGCCCAGTGATTTATAAGGCTCTGCCAAGGGCCCCCGCATTGGGAGAATGAAACTTATGTTCATTATACATAACACAGGCCACTTTAGATTGTCTAATAAACCAAAGAATTGACAGTCAGAGAAAAAATATAACAATTGTAGGAGGCGGGGATCAGTCAAAGGCTGTCGTCACTGAGAGTAATGTAGACACTGAGCGACCGCCACTGTTGAATCTTGAGGCGTTGTTTCTAGTCTGATATCTACTCATGCAGACCTCAATACAATGGAGATCAACTGAATTTAATTTGTGATACTCGTAACATTAAAAACTAAACAAAAAACTGTGTCTCTGTCACTCTGGATAATAATTATTCAGTGGAAAGTCGTTCCAATGAATCAGTTCAGAGTGGGTCTGTGTATCATGTACTTTCTGTCTATATTTGATATAACTAGATAATAAATCTCACTCTTACCAAGATTTTTATCTGTGATTTCATTCATTATTGTCATCGTATTTTCTTAAAGTAAAGTAAGAAAATAGATACAAAGTAAAAACTATCTCCAATAAAAGTCAACTTATTGAAAGAATTGAGTGTCTTGATCTGCTCCTGAAGAAGAAAATGCTTTAGAGAAACTGCTTTACATCAGAGATGATGTAACTATTCTCACTGGACTGGCAGATTGTTTCACTTATTTTAAAGGTTACATCTGGTTTTCATTGTCAACAAATCCCATGAAAAGACCAAAACCAACAATGAATCGACTCCACTAATCTTAGAGAGAGCTCCATTGTTGCTGAACACTCACACTGTAGTTTATTGTGAGTCAAAGTACAAGGTCCCGCTGCTCATTTAAGCACCAAATGTGTGTTAATCCACTGCTGAAAATAGTCCCCAAATGCACTACTTCCTCCTGTTTTGATTACGTTTGCTAAAAGCCACCGTGCCCAGCTGTTCTAGGAAATAACCCTTGACCTTACCCTTTAATGCACATTCACTGTCATATCAACGCTACAAGAGTCAGTGAATTGTATTCTGGATGTTTTGAAGGCATGTTGTGTTTTTGTGAGCTGTGTCGGACACTTACTGCTGACCAGCTGCCCCACGCTGAGAGCCGAGGAAGAGGAGGAGGTGGAGGAGGAGGAAGAGGCCTGGTGGAGGGGACTCTGTCTGTGGGGCATGTGGAGCAGGTTGGGCTGAGACGATGCGGGGCCTGTCTGACCCTGCTGCTGGACACACAAGCACACACACACACACACACACACACAGAGCTGATACAATATATTGACAGCGTGCTGTACAGAAGAATATCCATTATTCCCTCCTGCACATCATCACAATAATCAGCATTTATAGTCATCATGTCATTATGGTGGTTGAGCTATAATATTAAATCTAATCAACCAATCAACAGCTATTAAATTAGCCACTTAGAAGCTGAATCTAATGAGATTTACCTTGTACCGGATGATGAATAATGTTAATCACTGCCTGCAGTATTTAGACTGACAGCAGAATACAGCATCAATAGTCTGCTCAATAGACTACAGAGGTGGTTAACCATTACAGGAGAGTCAACTCAGGTACCCCACTTTCTCTCTATGAGCTTCTCTGCAGTTAAATCAGTTAAAAAACAAGAAAACCGCTCATGACAATTAGAGTCTTCTCTCTCGTCATCAGACCCGAGAGGATGCTAATAATGGCAGCCTGAATCTGAAAGAAAAACATGTGGACACAGCAAGTCCCCGTATCAAACATAATTCATGATCCACAAAGCTACGTGCTCTGATGGCGAAAAAAAACGATGTATTTTCATGTTTTATGCACATTTGAATTGCTTTTACAAGATCAAGATGGTACGTCTTCACTTTTAAAGTGAAAAGCTGTCTCCGCTATAAGCTAGGCCGGCTTCTCCTTCTCCTTCTTTGCAATTAATTATTTTCTCTGTGGCATGTGTTTGTTTGGATGGTGGGGGGTGTCAACAGCGATGCACACACTGTCAGGACTGTTGACAGGCTCGGAGAATTATCTAGCTTCACTGGAAATATTCTAGACTCGCAGGCTCTGACAACCGTAAATTATGCCCGTGGAACAATGTGTACATGCGGGCTTTGAAGTGGAGACAAAAGCATAAACATTATCACAAATGCATTAATTCATTCGAGAGTGTGATCTGGTGTTTTCGGGGAGCCACAATTAGGTGTCCATCTGCTGAGAGTTCATCCATTCTGCACTGTACAGGCCTTCAATGTGAACTTTTACTCTGTAATTCTGCGCTGACATCACCATTATCAAGTCAATAACATTTTCATTGTTGTGTGCATGCATCTGACTCCAGGCTTGTGTGCGCGCCGTATAGATCCTCAAATTGGAAGGAGATGATGTTTGAGCTTGAGTTTCTACACTTACAGTACAAACTTAAAAAAAAAAAAAAAAAAAAAGCAGAAAAGAAAGGGAACTTGTGTGTTTTATTCCTTTAAATCAAAACAAAATCCTTCTTGTTCAGGTCAGAGAGGACAAATCATAAGACTGGAGAGTGTGATTGAGGAAAGAGAAGAGGGAGGGAGGGAGAGTGGAACGGAAAGAGGTGGAGAGCAGAGGCAGGAGTGTTTGAGTTTTAAGTGGGGTGATGAAAAGTGTTGCTTTGTTTTTGTTTTTTTTTCTGGTTTGGGCTCTGCAGGGGCGCGGAGTCTGAAAGGTTGGCTGACAAGTGCCTTCGAAGCATGCCACACACACACACACACACACACACACACACACACACACAGAAGCATTCACAAACATACACACAATGCGAACAATTGTACCAAAAGCTACAATTTTCCAAGCTGAATGATGCAAATGAGCGTTATGAGTGTTGAAGCAGGAGAAATATGAGGTGTTTAGCATAAAGCAGACCTGACTAGCAGCGCTGGAATATTGCTTTCAGAAATAAACAGAGCTCCAGTCTGACTCCACTAGGTGTTGCTCATTCAACGGCTTTAAAGTCAGCTCTTGATCGCTGTTGAAACATCAGTTCAAGTATATAATAAGCTGCTCTACAAGATATCTTCCTCTATATATGTGTGTGTGTGTGTGTTTGTGCATCAGTGTATATGTTACCTGCTGTCCAGGCTTGATTGGTGACAGCGTGATTCCCTGGGTGTTGATGACAGGCAGGATCTGATTGCCGATCACCGTGGCGATGATCTGGCCTTGAGCGTTGGTCAGAAGCTGAGGTGTAATTGGCTGTACCTGCAGTGCTGGGTTGCCACCCCCTGATTGGCTGGAGGGCCCTGCAGAGTTGGGCATCAGTGGGATTGTTCCAATTATCTACAAAGGGGGTAGAGAGAAGACAAAATCAGCTGGGCGGTTTTAAAAAGAAGATGGAGCAGAGAGGGTAAACGCTACTGGAGGTATCGGTCTTAATGATCTCTGCCACTGTGAGGCTTTTTTTTTTGGGGGGGGGGTTTGTGTGTGATCAGAAACAAAGCCTGAGCCGGTCATTTTGCCGCGTTACGAGGCTAATCAGAGCTCTCAGCTTTCCAGTTGGTCCGTGTGTATGATTCTGAGAGAGAGAAACATGCACAAGTGTCCACTGATCATCTGTCACTGACGTGGTTTTACAGGCGAGAGCAAGTGAAGCCAAAGCAGACTGCTGGGAGCGCACTGCAAAGGTCAGCGCTGAATACCTGTGTGTGTGATGGTGCACACCACTGACTGTATTATCCATCACCAGGCCAAGACCGGGATGAGTGTGTGCGTATGTGTGACTGTGTGTGTCTAAGTGTCTTTGTCTGTCTCTGGTGAGAAGGAGGGAGGCTGCTGAGAGACAGAGACCCCCATTTCACCCTCTCTCTCTCTCTTATACACACAGGCAGAAAGGAAGAAGTGGAAAGAAAGAGCAAGAAAAGAAAAAATAAGAGGGAGAAAAGGAGGAGCATCAGAGAGTGAGACAGGACGCTGTGTTTCTAATTCAACTCTTAGGGTCCCAGGGGTACTTCACCCCTCCTCCACACCCCTCTAGCCCCTGCTTTGCTCTCCTCTGTGGCTGTAATCAGGAAGGGCAGATCAAAGGGGGCGGCAGAGTGTCACTGCAGCGTTTTAGCTCTCAGAGCTGCCAGAGTGTGGCCAAGAGTGGCGCTTTAGGGGGGTCTTAGCGCCTCTTCACCATGATGAAGGTTAATGTCATCTGGGGACTGGTTCTGAGCAGCTCCTGAGCAGCCATCGCCCCGGTACCCCCCCCACCCCCCCACCCCGCTGACATCGCTCCTCCACCAAGCCTCATTACACCAGAGAGCAGCTCAACATGGATGAGATGCCCATCATTTTAAATTCTGTTATTTGGCAACCGGGCAAAGAGCTACTTTTGCAAAAATTGCCCTCTTCTTCTTCTTTAAGTTTATATTTTAGTACAATCTTCTACACCTCAACCCAAAGCAACACAAAACTACAAACAGCTTCTACGTAACATTAACCAAGCATGTTCTGGCTCCCTAGTCTCTATCGCCACCACTGCTGATGTGTTTCAGCCTGTGGTTCGCCTCCTCCTCCTCTCTCTCTCTCCCCCCCGTCTCTTTGACATAATAGGGAGGGATCAGTGAGAGAAAGGTGGGCCGACAATCTGTAATTCATCCCTGCCACGGCTCATTTGCTTACGTTGCTTCGCATTAGGGGAGAGATAATTTATCTCTCTCTCCGCGGCAGCTTTACAAATTCCCTGTAATGCTCTCCTGCCACTTAGCATATTTTATTGCCCTGCCTGACGCTCTTGTCTCCTGAGTCCCACTGATCCCGCTTTGCATGCCACTGTGGCAGGGAACTTGTTCCGCTCAATTATTCATCGTCATTGGACTAAGTGGTTGTTCTATAAGCATAATAAAAGAGCAGGCAAGTGACAGCGGAGCTCTCGTCCCCGTCGCACCGTGCGATACTTCTCTATCTGACTATCTGAGGCAGATGTTTCATGGCAGTGTCTGAAAGCTCTTCTGGGGCTGGAGGAGTAGAGTTTGTAGAGCATTGAACTGTTTGAGTGTTGATTTATAGACAGGAGGTAAAACTTTGTCATATATACTGTATTTGGGGGGCTTGAGTTTATGGTTTACTGTAAGATAATTAAGCCTGGATATCAAACCTAAATACTTTTTGAATATCAACAAAGACACATCTGTAAACAATGATTGGTCAGATTCTTAGGTTGATTTATTATTTCAACAGAACTAAATCAATGTTTACTTTAGCATATAATTTCATTCAGGCAAAGTTATTTATTTAACACTGATGCATTTTGCAATTTGGCAACATGTTTATATTCTCCACGCTAAGGTATCAAAACAAGTGCTGTACTGTACCTTTTGGTGCTAATCCAAAAATAAAAAAATACCCAACTATAAACATATTAAGATCATTTCCCGCTGTATGCTTCTGTTTGATTCATAAAAATCACTAACTGTAATGTATAAACCTCAAACTAAGCCAAGTTTCCAAGGTTTGACAAACAATTCCCATCAACACACAGGTCTTGCTATTCATTCCTCATGTTTCTACCGATAATATTAGTATTTGTACACATGAGAAGGTTGCACAGCTCAAATTTGGTGAGCTTGTGCTTCGAAAACCTGCAGTACTCCTAATCAACCAGCAGGATGTTCTGTCTCTACAACTGGTCCAACTGTGCAATCATTTCCATTTCTTCGGGTGCAATTTTATTGCACCACCATTTCATAAATAAGCAGCCATCAGAACCTTATTCACTGCTAAGTCCCTCTCCTCAATTTCTTCTCCTTTATTTGGCTTCCTGTGTTTGCTTCCCGCTCCAGTTTGTATGACATGTGAGTAACGTGCCTCTCTCCACCCAGCAGAACTCATTAAGATTATGCTGCTCTTGTTTCCACAGAAATGTCATCTCATCTCTCCAGCCAGGGCAATCTGTGTCTTTAGCCATGGTCGCCAGGCAATATCTCTGCCCATTTTCTCTCCTCCACTGTTCATGCGGTGAATTGAGACCCAAGAGGGAAAATGTTTGGGAAGTTTGGTCCAAAGTCCAAAAAAACCTAACATTCAGAGCAAATCAAAGCCTAAAACAGCAGACTCATAATGGTACACTGGACAGGAGATTTCCTAGGGCCGGGGTGGCAGATCTTTTCTATTTATTTAACAGCTTTTGTTGTATTTATCAAATATACAACAAGATGCAGGTTCAGTAGATTAGTGCAGAAATGACAGAAATGAACAGAAATTAGTTGATCAAAAGAAACTTGATCAAAAACTTAACTTAATAAATAATAAACTTAATAACTGGTTAATTGCATAAATTATTTATCCAACAAAAACGTCAAACATGAGATATTTGCATCATCTCAAATGCTATAATCTGTCGCCTTTCCGTGTTTTATATCATCGTTAATATTATACCTTTAGTTTTTGGAGTCGGGCAAAACAAGCAATCTAGAAGCTTGTAGGCCATTGACAGATTGATACTGAAAATAATCAATAGCTGCAGCCTACAGTAGATTTACAATTACGAGGTCAATAGCAGTTTACACTGATGTAACACAGGATCTAAGGGTTAAAAGCTTTTATCAACACACAGGGCACATTGGTGTTGTGGTTCAGCTTCACTCACTTCACAGGCTAACTTGCTTTGCAGGTTAACCGTGCATGTTCTTTACCTGTTGTCCTCTGTGTCTGCATTAGTGCCACCACCATCCACCCTAGGGACTGGGAATGCTGGGAGTAAAAGGGATTGATGGCCTGACAGCCCGAGTTCAGTAAGGAGAGGATGTCCATACACAAAGCTAAAGAACCTGGGATTACTAAACTGGGATTTAACACACACACACACACACACACACACACACACATACACAAACCAATTCAACTACACCTTTCAGGACGTACGGTACACTACATAAAACATCCCTTTATGTCTCCTTTTCCCAACATATTTTTACTGCCATATTAAAGGAAAAGTGAGAATTTGCACTGAATAGAAGATGTTGACAAAAATGCCTTAGATTCATAAAGGAAAGAAATCTCAGGAGTGAGAGTGACTTAACAATATTCTGGCTTTTATCCACAGCTTTAATCACTGTTGTAGACGTAGCGAGGACAAAAGAGCCTCATTGATTCTCCTTGGAGAATAAAAAGGCTGGGGCCAATATAATTAAGGTTTAAAAACATATTGAACTCCAAACGTTCATCAAACCTGGCACTTTTCAAGGTCCCCAGAGCTCTTGCTTATGAAAAGGTCTTTTGACGGAGTTGTAGAAGAAATTATGAGGTCAAAGACTGTATAGTATGTTTTACATTCAAGGAAAGGTGACTCTTTACTCTTGGAGTGCACTGATGATACAGATTGTTTCCCCGAAATTCCAATCAAACGCTACCCTGAAGGGATGAAAGAAAAACTCCAGCAATGCAAACTAAAATTTGATAAAAGCTGCTCCACTGCCTCCTGTTTTGTAGCTTTTCCACGCTGACATAAGTTCTCAGAGCGTGTTTCGTGGACCTCCAACCTTGTTTGGGGTATGTATTAGCCTGTATAATCTCCTCAGTGTTGGGGGGAGGGGGGTACGGGACCTTCTGATAGGGTAGTGCATGTTTCAGAGCCCTCCGTCTGAATAATGCTATGGAATAATGAGGTGGGGAGCAAAGGCTGTAGCCCAAGGCTTTGACCGTCTCTGTGACCTGATTATGTCAGGGGCTGTCAGCCGCCAAGACACTACAAAAGCACAGAGCATCCCATCAAGTCCATATCCACAGTGATCTGTCCCCAGTGCTCCAGGCACCTTGTGAGCCAGGGAAGTCCATACTGTCTCATTAGCGACGTTTAGCATCAAGCGCCCGGACAACACTTTACTGTAGACAATGAGGCATGGTCACACTGGTGGTACCGATACTTTACTCCAGTAGGCTAAATGTCACATTTAACATTAAAAATCGAGATGTTTTCGCATGTTTTCTAGTCCTAAGAAATGTCACCTGTCTTTGGTTTCACCATATTTGTGTTAAGTTTACAGTAAGGACAGTGCAAGTGTTGAAAGATGAAACAGGGGTTAAGGTAAATAACACAGAGTGGCATGAAAGGGCACATTGTCCATACAATTTTCCTTTAATATGTGCCGTGTGCACCTGCGATAAGATGATTCATTAGATAGGGTCCCACAATGACAAGCATCATCGTTCAAGCCTCTGGCTACTGATGGAACAATTCTGCAGCCACCCTGTAAATATGACAAGGTCAGCGTTTTACTGCGACAGGCGCATGCGGATAAGAGAAAGAAGGGCTTTGTTTATTCCCAAAAAGCTTAATATATGGTGGGGTGGCTACTAGAGTGTAGACAAACAGCTCCAAACACAACACGCAGACCCACCACTGGAAATCCATGAGGAAGGATCAGAAATACTATACAAATGTTTTATTTGGAACTGCAGTCATACATGATAGATGTTTCCAGCAACGTCTCTTACAAACCTGTTACCAAGGAAACTGTTTTCCCGCTACAGGATTTTATTAACCGTATGTATAAATGATCGTTTTTTTGTTTGGTGTCCAGTATAGAGCACTCACCTGTCCTTGTGCGTTGGTGACCAGCTGTCCGGTGGCTCCTTGCAGGTTTGACAGGGTGTTTCCAAACACCTGAGAACCGGCGATGGATCCCATGGCTGCTGCTGCTGCTACCTGGCTGGCCAGTGGATTCAGCTGGTGAGGGCAAGGAAATCATTCGTCAAAAAACTGCATCTGTTTATATCAATCGTGGAGACATGTACCGGTGTAATGCAAATTCCTAAGAGAGCCGGTTCAGGAAGTCTCGGTGTGTGGAGGTGTGTGTGTGTGGGGGGGCCTTCACACTCCCATTCTTTGTTGCTGAAGGCCAGAATAGGCTAACTGCAGTGAGGTCTGTATAGTCCAGTATAGAGGGCTATGCAGTCCATCATACAGTTCCCAGAGGTCTGTGCTCCCGAACCCAGTGGGAGGCTCGAGGGTTGGGAGGAGCAGTGAGAACGGGACGGTGGCTGTGAATAAGTGGCCATTTTACCACTCTAAGTGCTTCCTCTGGCCCCCGGGGCTCCCCACGGGCCGAAGCGAGTCTCTCCACCCGCAGCAATGGCCCAACAGCATCCCGCTCACAATAGAGCCGAGCAGTGTGGCCATGCATCACTGTATTGCCAACCCCTTCGATATGCTTCGACTAAGAATTCCTCCTGCGTCATAATGCTCTAGCACACTGTTACTTTTGAAGGAGAGGAGGGTTAAAATGACCATTTTTACCCCCAGCTGTAATGGACTCATCTGGTCTGGCCTGTGGTTGTGAAAAGAGGCTCCTTGCATCAGGGAGAGGTTGTAGAGCCCCGCCACATCGACGAGATTACCCATATAAATCAAGCTAACCACTTATTAGGGGGCTGAAAATGCACTGCTGATTTGGTTGTAGTGCAGCAGAGCAAAGTCTTATTAGGTTGAGTAAGTAGATCAAAGACCAAGAAGAGATAGGAGACCTCCCAATTACTCAACAGAATAGAGAAATAATAGAAACACTGCTTTTGGAGCAGACTGCCTGCTCCCTGCTGCTAATACTGGTGGCTACATTCAAAGAAAACTGCTGAAATTAAAAGTAGAGTTTATATAGAAGGTTTAAAACAACATCAAGTGTTTCATATATTGTTAAGTTTATGTAAAATACTATGTGCTGGTGAAAGAAATTCTGTTATTGAAAGCACCGTCTCCACACTCTCTGTACTCTGCAGGGAATTCAGCTTTGTTCATCTGAGATCATTCAGTTGCCATTCATCTTTTATCGTACCCCACCACCATATATTATTACACTTTCTGAAATCAAATGATGAAAAAATGCCACAGAGCGATCAATACTTTTTCATTGACAGTAAAGGTTAAGCACATTAAGAATGACACTGCATTTGTCTTATGAAATCATATTTCATGTTGGTGGCCTCAAATTGGCCGTGATTGATATTGCCTCCTCTCGTCTGAAAGTCATCCAGTTTTCCCCGATAATCGCAAGATTGTCTTTTATGTGTCCAGCAGTTGTCCTTCGGAAATCCCAACGTCTCAGATGTTCGAATTCTGTCTTAACATGCAAAAGTAGAAGGACAGCAGAACTTCAGTAAAGCTGGAATTAAACTGCAAGATCTGAGAGGAAGTTCCCTAACTTATATATATTATGGTATAGTATTTTGGCTAATTTGGGCACACTAAGTAACGACTAACTAACAATTAAGGGAAATTACTGTATGTGGTAATTAACATAACATCCCAACACATTTCTGTTTTCTGAAAGGATTTTGTATTTTAAAAGATAAGAGTTTAATATTGTATCTTGTAAAAGAAGATTAGTCTTCTTCCAATAAAACAACCAAACTGTCCTTTACCCAATATGTTTTGCTAAATAGTGAAACTTTAATTAATTTAGAGGTCTCATTTGACTGTACAGTGCAATACAGTATGAAACAGTAATTTTTATTAAGCCTGGCTGATCAAACAACAGTATTAATTTTTAGCAGAATCATCAGATGGTGAAATTATCTGACCATGTTATCAATCTATACATTTATGTTATCTAAAAATAAATATATATAAAATAATATAATATATAAAATAATGATTCCAAGATGTGATTTCGGAAACGCGTATATCAATTTGCAAAAATATCCTTAATAATATTGTGGCAATAATTGCTATAACTGATTTAAATATATTGATAAACGTACAAATGGTTACATTATAGTTTATGTTTCGTTTGTATTACCATCATTATCACAATAGCCCACAATGTGCACACTGTGGTGATAAATACGTATTTATCACAGTGGAAGATGATAAAAGGGTAATTTTGTTGAAAGAGACAGAGAAAGAAACAATCATCTCTGACTGTTTCTCTGCTCAAAGACAAATGTTATCTCATACTTTTGTTCTGAGAAACTTTTAGAATCAGATGAAGATGTTTTAAAAGAGCAGCAGCTAAAAGGAAACATCTCTTAGCTTTCTTAGTTGTTAAATCTTGTTTTATTTAAAATAGCCACCAAAGATGGATTGGCCAACACATTAGTAATTCTTTACCATTTAGCATTATAATGCACATTGACACCACTCTCTTTAAAATCCCATAATAAGATGTGATCACTTTGCGGTGACAGATAGGAGGAGGAATTTTCATTGCTGGATGTTGATATAAGAGAACCGACACTCAATAGATAATTTCCCTCCACTTATGACTGGAGTAGTAGTACTAGAGATGAAGAAAATAAAACCTGGATTGGCTACTGTGCTAGTTTATGTTTTGAGAATATAAAATACCTTCTTAAGTGCTGACAAAGGAGGTCTTAAATCCACGCTGGTAAAAACACAGTATTATGGGTGTTGTGATAGTGAATGGAAACACAGAGAAAAGCCAACATGGCCAGTTAAACACAGCTAAACAGAGGCCACAGATGAACACACAGATAATGTGATCTTCTCAGGCGAGCACACACAGAGTCTCCCTGAAAATCTGTTGTGCTCTGTGTCATTGTGTGAGTGATAGGTTGTTGGAGAAGCTTTCAGATTTATTTGAAATATTATCATTGTGTTTCATTAGATGATAGCCCTTTCAGATGCTATGTTATTCTGGTAAATCTAGGTGAAAAGAGAGCAGGCTTCATTGCTGCATCTCCTGGCACTGGGTAATATGGATAGCAGTTGAAAGGAGAGCCAGGAATAAGGAGAGGCGAGGCTGTGTTCAACACCTAAACAGGTGATTTTCCGCCACGGTGACTCCTCTCAACACCTCGGCGGGAGGCACAAAATGACAGACCTGGCCTAGCATTTGTACTGATTGCATGTGTTGGAGGAGATAAACAGTGATCTTCCAGTTTGCAGAGCCTGCATGTTAACCATTGTGTTTCATTCTTTTCATTCCCAGTGAAAAGGGCGTCAAGAGGATTTTCAGCAGCATAGACGACTCTGGTCAGACACACGAGTGTTGGGATGCAGAAATAAACTGTCAATGTATTTGATAAAGATATGTTTCAATTCAGTTCAAGTAATGTAGAACTATAACACATTCTTTGTGTCGTATAGCAGCAAAACCTTCGCACTGCCTCCATTATATCATGTGACATTGTGTTGTCACCTTTAAGTCGCCACAACTGCTATCACTCTCCGCACTATCACGGTTTAATATAGCCAAATATATGGGGGCTACACAGGGATCAACAAACACAAAATAAAGGTCTGTGAGAGGGGGAAAAAAAGCCTGCAAATTGTTAAAAATGCATCTTTTCGCTTTACGGTGTGAAGAGAGGGGTGGAATCTAAACTCCGCCAGGCTCTTTGTTGCCTGTTTGACCATGAGGGTCACCTGGTGCAGCAACCCGTGTAATCTCAGGAATAGAGGGAAAACTAGCGTCCCCGCAAACCGTGGAGAGACCCCTGGAAACCAAAATTGTCTGACACAAACTAACTGGAGTTTATTCTTGGTTTTGCTCTTTTCATGTGGCCGTTTGAAACTTAATTGCTTTTTTTGTTCTGGGCCGGCACAGGACCAAAAAAAGAGCAAAGATAAATGGACAAAGTGGTGCAGACACCAGCAGGCGGGCAGATTTGTCTACGCTCAGGCTTCAGCGGCCGTGTAAAACTTATTTTCTGCTCATCTATGATTCAACGACGGAGTCCAACATTTATCTAATATATCAGAGAAAAAATTAAAGAGAATATAAAACCAAAGAGAATGATTAAGCAAGTTAGTGGTCAGTAATGTTTTTAATTGACAATGAAAGCGGCTATATGCCAACTTTTATCCAGAAAGTGACTGAAACAAACAGCTTTTCCTTTTTTAAAAAGTATCTCAGATTGATTACAGGTGGAAAATGATAGAAGCTGATGTGAGATGTACCAAAGTCTACATACTTTACTGCCTAGAATTCAGCAAAAAGTGCGTCAAAGTGGGACAAACAGTGTAAATCAACAGTCAATAGCAGTATTGTTTCTGAGAAAAATGTCCTTTATCTTTGGAACAACGTGGAAGTTTCCCTCGTTCATCCCGAGCCCACATCTCTGTCTCCTCCTGCTCTTTTCCCACTCCGGAGTGAATGTAATCAGCTGTGACATGAGAAAACACGTTCTCTGTCTGTCAGGACTCGGCTAGTCTTCCGCTGACAGTCCTCTGCTGACTCTCCTCCTCCTCCCCCCCAAAAACGGCCTCTTCCCCACCTCCCTGTCTCCCCTCCCTCACATCCGCTGTGCTCATGAACATCAAAATGCCATTAGGCCCTCCAAAACACCTCTGGTCCCTTGGTTAGCAGGGCTTCGCACTGTGGTCGTGCACTCTGAGCCCTCTGAGCGCCGACTATTGCTCACCACTGGGCCTCTGCTCCAGCCGTTGTGAAAAATAAACCCCAAAAAGAGCCATTCTTGAGGAAAAATATTGGGAAGTGAAAGACGGATAGAACAACTGGGGCAGATAACACCCGGCAAAATACAATAACGCTGCATCTGGTGACGGTCGGACATTGTAATTGCTTAAGGCAGTGGAGGGATGGTGGTGGCAGCGGGTGTGGATGTGGAGGTGGCTGAGGTGGCATGGTGGGTGCTAATGGAGTGATGTCATACGAAACGCCAGAATGACAGCTAGTTAACTGAGGAGGTTTGGCTGATCAAATAAAATGCATTAACTCCAGGAAATGGATATCGCGGGCGGCCTCAGAA